CAAAGGGAACTCTGTCTCGGCATCTGTCACCGCCGCCCACCCAAAACTTTCCGCCGCTCCCGGCCGCCCGCCCGCCGCCGCGGGACGGCTCCGCACCGGCCCCGGCACCGAGACCCCGGCGCGGCCCATGCGAGCGCCCAGGCGGCGGCGGCGGCCCGGGGGTGAGCGCAAAGATGGATCCCGGGGGGCGCGGAGGGGAGCGGGGCGGCCCCGCGCCTTTGTGCGGGACGGAGCGGGACGGGCCGCGCCGGCGCCTCCAAAAGTTTGCGGGAGCCGCGGGCGAGTCCCGCCSGCCCCCGCTGCGGCTCGGAGTCACCGCGGAGTTTGCCGGGCCGGGGTAACTCGGGGCTGGCGGCGGAGTGCGGGGCCGGGGCCGCTCTCCGGCTCCTCTCTCCCCCCGCCGCCCGGGGGCCCGCGGCCGCCGCTGCCCCGCTTTGTGTTGGCGGCCCCGGCCCCTCGCTACCTGTTGCGGCCGAAGGGGCGGCGGGGCCCGGCCCGCACCGCTCCGCACCGCCGGGGCCCCGGCCCGCACGGCCGAGCCGAGCCCCCGGCCCGTGACAGSCGCCCCCGCCTCCATCCCCGCCGCACAATGACCCCGCGTGGTTCCTCTCCCACTCTCCAGCTCCGGCCTCTTTCTCCTGCTGAGATTGTTTTTGTTTTTAACTTACCCTCCTCCCACCCCACCCCATGCTTGATAGATTTTTTTTTTTTTTGCCCGCTGGGGTGCCCCCCGAGCCCCGAGTGCCCCCAGCCCCGTGCCGTGCGCTAGGCTTCCCCGCACCCCTGGGGCTCTCTTCGGTGTCCCTGTTGTCCCCCCGGTGCCGGTCGTTTGTTCCCCCGCGGGGTTGCCTGACCGTGGGTTCCCCCCCGGCTGGGCCCATAGGGGGTAAGAGCCCCGCTGGAGGCGGGGGGWGGTCGGTGGGAGGCCCTTTCCCCTCCCCCGACCGGACACCGCCTGATGCTCCCTTTGGTTCCCCCTCTCCAGGCTTCAGCCAGGAGGGTCCCGCGGGCAGCTCCACCATGTCGGACAGTGACCCGGGGGACGAGGACGGTGCCATATCCCCCGACCCCGCTCAGTGCAAGAGGAAGAGAAGGGGCAACCTCCCCAAAGAGTCGGTGAAGATCCTGCGGGACTGGCTGTACGAGCACCGCTTCAATGCCTACCCCTCGGAGCAGGAGAAGCTCAGCCTCTCGGGGCAGACCAGCCTCTCCGTGCTGCAGGTAGGAGCCAGTCCCCACCCGCTGGGGACACCTCTGGGACACTGCCACCATGCTGGGTGGGACAGGRGACCCCCACTGAGGATCCCAAAGGACTGGGCACACTGGGCCCACTTGATGTTGAAGGGCAGCGAGGAGACAAGGGAAGGGATGTTGGGGAAGGAAAGCCACCTCTGTGAAGTGGGGGAGGGTCTCTTTTGGGGAGATGTCTGAGCCCTGGAGACCAGCTTTGCTGGAGCAGAGCATTTTGGCCAGCCAGAAGGTGGAGGGACTGAACAATACCCTGTTGTTAGTAAAAGCTGCACTGGTGGGAGGATTTTGCGGGGTGCTACTTTATCCTGTTCCCCTGGACACCCCCAGCAGAGGCGAAGGTGWTGAGGACCTGCGCACAGAGCTGGGCAGGGGACAGCCCTAGGGCTGGGCAGGTCCAGGAGCTGGACTTGATGATCTTTGTGGATCCCTTCTAACTCAGGACATTCTGTGATTTTAACCAGGAGGGAGAGGTTGGGTGAGCTCTGAGCCCCCTGGACTGTTCAGTGCTGGCCTGGCCCCGCTTACCGCAGCTGCATCAAGGGCAGCCCAGCTGGGGATTCCTGCCCAGGAGCCTCCCTGCCCTGCTCCTGGCTGTGGGCTGATGTTCTCCATGTGGCACCGTGGTGGGTGCAGTGGGGTGAGCAGTKCTCATCCTTCCCTCTCTGGTGTGCTCCCTGCCTATGTTTGGGGTGCTYGGAAGGGCCTGCCTGCAGCTGCTGTGCTTCATACACAGGCCTGGTGCCCTTGTCCCCCTGTCCCAGCCTGACAAAGTGGCAGATGAACAGGGGCTCCACTCTGTTCTCTGGCTCTGGGGTGCAGTGGGGTGCAGGGCAGCAGGTRAGGGCCAGTGGGTTTGTTCCTCTCCTGGAGCACCTATGCACTTCTGCCTCCCTCTCCCTGTGGCTCAGCACAGCCCAGCCCAGACACCGAGTGTGGGCAGGGGCTATCTGCTTGCCCTCTTCCTGACCAGCAAGGAAAACCTGCTCTTTTATTTTAATGTGTCTCTGTAAGTGCTGGCTGTCCCACAGATGGCTGACTGGCCAGCAGCTGCTCCAGGGACTGGCTGGAGCCCCTGGCAGGCCTCGAGGCTGAGTGTTGGGGGAGCAGCGATGGGTTTGGGGCTGTGGGAATCGCTTGTCCTAACCCAGGCTGGCAGGGCAGTGCCTGGCTGGGGCTCCTGTGGTGCTGGGAGCTGCCTGGTTGTCGGTGCCCTGTAAGATCCAGGATGGGTGGTACACGGGTGGGCTGGCTGTGTGCCAGCTGTTGTGTGCCCCAGGGGACCCCCACAGTCTGTGTGTACCCCTGTATCCCCCAGGCAGGGGGTCCCAGCCCGGTGGCATTTCCCAGCACAGCCGAGGGTTGACACCATGGTTTCTGCCAGTCCGAGGGGATGCAGCAGGAATATGTGGGGATGCTCCCTCTGCCTGTTGAGGTGGAGGAGTGGGACACTGTGGTGTGGCCATGGGATTCARTCTGTGGTGAGATCTGACCCCTCCAAGGGCCTCTGGGTCACAGGGCTCTGCCACAGCCACTGGCCACTGCCTCAGTTTCTTTGCACAGCCTTCTGCCCGCTCCTGTGGCATAGGGAGCTGGACCTGGGCACTGGCAGCCAGGGATCAGGGAGAGCAGGAAGCCATGAGCCTCCTGAGCAGMAATTCCCGAGCTGAGAAAGCGGCACCTGCTCCCACTGAGGCTCCCTGGGCAGCAGCAGCTTTCCATGCCTATGCCCTGCTGTGGATGGACGGGCCTTTCCTCCCTGTGGGGAGGGGATGCTGCTCTCATAGTTGTGGGGCACAGATGCTGCCCAAAGGGACAGGATGGGATGTGCTGGCAGTGGGGAAAAGGGATGGCCGTGTTTAAAAACCAATAAACCCTTCAGAGCCAGAGCATGTCCCAGCTCTGTGACATTGCCTGCTGTCACACTGGCTGTGTGTGCCTGTCTCAGTGCTGTGTCCTCCAGTGGGAATTGAATGCTGGAAGGAGATTGGTGGTGGGGACAGGCAGGATTTTGGAGGGTTCTCAGCACTGAGGAGTTGGGCTTTTTCTTGGAAGTCCATCCCTCTGGTCGGGGATCACAGTGATGGATGGCCATGGGATCAKGCCAAGGGGACCCAGCTAAAGCTTTCAAGGGATGGGATTGGAATGGGAAATGGAGTAAGATTCTGGTGTATTTGGGGCTTTTAATGCCAAATATTGTCTTTAAAGACAAAAAAACAACAGCTGAGATCTTGCTGTGATTGAAGCTGTGGCAAGTTTTTTCTGCTTGGGGGAAATATTTTCCATAGCTGTTGACTTAGAAAGATCAGACATTTTTCCCCCTGATTTATTCTCTTCTAATTGTTTTCTAGGAAAAAGGCAGTTATTTTAATGTAGCATTTTATATAAAGTTGCTGAAACAATCCATGGCCAAGGCTGAATAATGGTGAAAGGCTGTGCTGTGCAGATGTTTGGGAGAGCCTTTAGGGTGAGCTGTGCCCCTGCTCATGGGCAGAGGCACGGGAAGGTGTCTGTGCTGCCCCATTCCGGCCCCGTTAGGGGCTGAGGGGCTGCAGCTTCATTGCCTGATGGTTTCTAGGGTTTTCCATCCCTGGTCCTCTGGCCACCCATCTGCTCTGGCAGCATTGGTGCTCCCATCAGGTTGGCAGCACACTGACACTGGCAGCAGTGTGGAAAYATGGCTGAGCTCTAGGATGAGTCACCTGGAGAAAACTGTCCCCAGCCTGGGGACCTGTAGGATGGGCAATGCCTTGGCCCCTGGCTCGGGGATGGGAGAAGCCATGCTGTACTCGCCTGTAGCCGGGACCTCGGAGCTGCGGAGGCGGCACAGCACCGAGCTCTCCTTCCCTGGGGACAGCTCGGCTCAGCTGCCGTGGCTCCAGGCAGCGGTGCTCTGGCTCCAGCGTGTGCCCATTGCTGTGCTCCGATGGCGAGCAGGAGCCGGGGGCTGGCAGGGCAAGGGGGAGCCAGGACAGGGTGCAGGGAGGAAGGGGCTACCCCGGGCAGGCAGTGCCAGACAGGAAGCAGCCGGTGTTGAGGTTTTCTGTGGTTGCCAGCGATGCTTGTGCCCCTCTGGAGCCCCGCGGGGAGGAGGTGCAGGGCTGGGGGRAACCTGTGGTACCCGGGGTGTGTGGGAGCTGCTGCCGGGTCCGGGGGAGCTTCTGTTGCCTTGCCCCGGGACTGCAGCCCCCCGGTAACCCCGCCACACCCCTCTCTCCTCACAGATCTGTAACTGGTTCATCAACGCCCGGCGGCGGCTGCTCCCTGACATGCTGCGCAAGGATGGCAAAGACCCCAACCAGTTCACCATCTCCCGCCGCGGGGGCAAAGCCGGCGATGTGGCCGTGCCACGGGGCGCCGCCGCCGGCTCCGGGGTACTCGTGGTGCCGCCTGTGGCGGCGGCGGGCGCCTCCAAGGTGCTATCGATGTCCGTGTGCCCGCAGGTACTGTGCCACCCGGCGCGGGCACTGGCCGTGGTGAGCGCCCACAGCCCCGAGTGGGAGAAGCCCCCCGGGCCCGAGGCCGTGCCCAGGGCAGGCACGGGGGCCGGCGGCAGCACCCTGACCCTGCTGGCGCGGGCCGAGGCGGGCAGCCCCACGCCCGGACTCTTCAACACGCCGCCCCCCACGCCCCCCGAGCTCTTTGGGGACGACTTCAGCAGCTTCCAGCTGCTGGTGGAGGTGGCCCTGCAGAAGGCGGCTGAGCTGGAGCGGCAGCGGCAGGGGGGACCTCCCGGAGCCTCCAAATAACCCTGGGCCGGGTTCCTGCAGGGTGCTGACCTGCCCGGCCTCTGCCTCGCCCCCACAGCCCATCCCAGGAGTGGACTCCTGCCTCCGGGGGCTCTGGTCTCTCTCGCAGCCAAGGCAGCAGAGGAAGGACTGTCCCACCCCGCCATCCTCCTGCTGGGAGATGCCCTGGCTGCCGAGGACGGTGCCCCAGCTGTGCAGGGGACCGTMGTGACCAGACCTCGACGCTGGCACTGCCCTGTCCCTGCTGCGCGGCCGGAGTGGTCACTGGAGCTCCCCTGGAAAACCTGCTGATCTCTTCCTCTCCCGCCAACACCAGCTACCAACTACCAGGGTCCCACCAGCACTGTTCCTTCAGGAGGACAAAGAGAGAACCTATTTTTTTTTTAACATTGGTGTCTATTTTAAGGACTGTGGATGAAGAGCTTTGTTACCCAAATCTCTGATCTCTTCCCCCTCCTTCTCTTTTCCCCTCCCCCCTTTTGTTTTGGGGGGCCCTTTCTGTTTCCCGGTGCTGGCCAGGGGCTCTACCTTGCCTAGGGAAGGGCCAAAGACAGATGAACTGGAAAACATGGAGTCTGTGGCATTTTATCATGATAAAAATAGGACCCTCCTCTTCCATTTTAGGGTGTTCTGGATGCTGCCAGTAGAAGTCGCGATGGTCCTGTTTAGCAAGTTTTTTGTTTAAATACTTTGCCTTTAATTGTGATTTATTACATGGTTATTACTTTTTGTTTGTTTTTTTTTTTTTTTTTTTTTTTTTTTTTTTTTTTTTTAATCTTTTTTTAAACTTCCCACAACTTCCCTCGAGTTCCTGCTGAATGTGAGCACGCTGTGCCCAGAGCAGTGAGCGCGTGGCAGAGCCTGGGCAGCGCTGAGACTGTGAATTTTGTACCCGACTTCGTTTCCCTTTTTTTTTTTTTTTTAATTTTTTTTATAAAACCTTTGGAAAGAGGCGTGGTGCGGGCACGGCCATCCATGTGCGTCCTGCAAGTGCAGTCCGGGGTTCCTGGGAAACGGCGCTGGGGAGGCGGAGGATGGAGATGTCTCTTCTCTGTCCCCTCCCTCCTGCTCCCGCTCGCCAGTGTGGCTGTGCGGTGCTGGGGACCTCTAGTGACAAACTGGTGTGTGCTGGGAGCTCGGGGTTCCAGCGGTTCTTGGGCTCCGGGGCAGCTCGTGGTTGGGTGCCTGGGTGCTGTGCCGGGCTCGGGCACTTCGGGTGCCCTGCGGGATGTGAGTCAATGGCTGTGCTGCGTCCCGAGGAACACTAATCCCGTCGGTAATTAGCCCGATGAGCTGATGACTCGAGGGGGTAAAGCCCGGGAGCTCTTCGGGGCTGGGGGCAAGGGGCGGGAAGGGAGAAGCACTGATTTGGGGGGCTGGTGTATTCCTACCCTCCATTTCTTCAGAGGGAACGTCCAGGGGAAGGGGACTTCCCGATAGTGTCACYCTGGCAGGTGCCGTGTGCGGTGCCAGGATGGCACAGGGGCGGGTGAGCACCCATCGTGTGCCTGTGACCAGCCCCTTCCTCACCCCACCTCCGTTCCTATTCCCAGCCTTTGTCCTTTGTCTCCTTTCCGGGGATGTCAGAATTTTGGGACTCCCTCTTTCACCTCGTCACCCCCCTGCAGCTCTKTCCCTTGCCCCAGGGGAGGGGAGAGGCTTTTTGGCCTCCTGCCCTCACTTGCCCCAGTCAAACCAAAGCAGTTTCCTTCCCCCTGAGCTGTGGCTGTGCCAGGGACTGCTGCCTTAGGATGGACCATAGAGTGGGGGGGCAGGAATTATTGGAATTAAATGTATGGAGAAATAACAAACTACTGTAAATATATTTTCTTTTGTTTTTCTATTGTCAAATAAAAGTTTTTTTTAGTTTGGGTTTTTATAAAATACAAGCTGYGTATGGGTGCCTCACTTGGTTCTCCACCACTAGGGGAAATCCCTGGCCCACTCTGGAGTAGCACCACTCTCCATGGGCTTCTGGGGCTTTGCACTTGTGAAGGATGTGGGACATTCCCAGGGAAAATGGCGGGCTGGAGCAAGGGCAGGGCCTGCAGAGGGACAGGGGGTCATGGCTGGGACACCACAACTCAGCTGCCCCTCCTGCAGCCCCAAGCACTACCACGGGGCTCCTGAGCTGCACGGAGGGGCCCATGCCCCTGGCAGGCCCTTGGGACCCCCACCACGGCTGGGAGACTTGGGGACCTGCACCCACCACCAGAGCCCAGCGGATCCCGGGCRCTCAGGACATGATGGGCAGTGGGGGGGCACAGGGGTCACCGTGGGGAGCCCCTCCACAGCCACCCCTGTCACCTCCCAGGGCTGCAGCTGGGACTGGTGCTGCTGGGAGGGATCCTCCAGTGGCACCCCCAGCCCTTGTCCCAGCCCTGTCTACCCCAGACACTCAACAGTCTCATGTAAAGTGACACTCTCGTACTTCCACAGTGATTTGGGTTGGGAAGACCTTAAAGAAAATTCAGTCCCACCCCCTGCCATGGGCAGGGACACCTTCCACTGTCCCAGGCTGCTCCAAGCCCCAATATCCAGCCTGGCCTTGGACACTGCCAGGGATGCAGGGGCAGCCACAGCTTCTCTGRGCASCCTGTGCCAGGGCCTGCCCACCCTCACAGGGAACAATTCCTTCCCAATATCCCATATATCYTTGATCTCTGTTTATGTGAAGCCATTCCCTGTGTCCTGTCCCTCCATCTCTTGCACCCCAGTCCCTCTCCAGCTCTCCTGGAGCCCCTTTAGGCACTGGAAGGGGCTCTGAGGTCTCCCCGGAGGATTCCCTTCTCCACTTCCAGCTCTCCCAGCCCTTCATACTTCTCACGCCATTGCGAACCCCTCCCCAAAATCCCCACGAGTGGGCGAGGCTCCGGGMCCCCTCCCTGGAAGCTGCGCCCCCATCGCTGGGGCGGGGCGGGCCCGGTGCTCCAAACAGCGCGGAGCCGGGTCCGCGGCGCACCCCAAGGGTCCCCGAGCCCCAGAGTTGTGGCCTGAGTCCAGCGCGACCCTCCCGGGCTGGATCGTGCCGGGAAGTGTGTCCGGGGATGGCCCCGGGGAGCGCCGCTGCCCCGCTCGATGGGGGCCGGGGCAGACTGGGCCGAGCCGGGTCGGCGTGGTCCCTCAGGGCATTGCCGGGCATTCCCGGGAAACGGGCAGTGCGCGGCTGGGGCTGCGCTGGGAGAGCCCGGGCAGGGAACACGGCCATGGGCATGGCACACAGGAAATGGGACAAGGAGCCCGGACCCGACCCCACGGGTCTCCCTCAGGCAGGCCCCACCGGGCGCTCCTGGGGAAGGCCACACCCACCGCCCCCCGGGCCCGCCCTTTCCCAGCAGTACGTACTGTGCTGTGATTGGCTGATAGCGCAATCACTCCGCCACGCATCAGCCCGGAAGTAGYTTTACCCACGGTCTCGCCCCCACGGATCCACTGGAGGCAGCCATTTTGTTTGACCCGCCATCTTATGGCTGGGCGCAGCCATTTTGTTAAACGTCACGCTGCTCTGTGATTGGCTACTAGCCATCTCGTGACATCACAAACCCATGTGACCTTACGCAGCTCGTGATTGGCTGCACGCGTCCCTTGGGCTCAGAATAAACAGGTAAATACAAAGTGTGAATATGGAATTATTTATGAAAGGGGTGTTAAATAGGTGTAAAAATAATTTTTAGATTTATAAAAGGCGTATTTAAACATATAACACATTTTTCTACATATATGTATATTCATACAGAAATATGTGACTTTACCTCTGTATATATATTTTAATATATGTAAGTGAATTTCAAAGTGTATATATTATCAGATATAAAAATATATTAAAATTAATTAATCTTTACAGCTTTATAAATTCACGTACATGTTAAAATATATAAACACATATATACAAACACACATTATATAAGAACATAAATATTACATTACAAACAAGCCTAACCTAGGGCAACAAAGATCGTTTGACAGCTTTGTGAGCAGCAGTTGGGAAGAGTAAAGGATTAAAAAAAAAAAATAACCCCCACATTTCCTTGGTGTTCCCCATTTCCTTGCTCGAGATCTCTTAACACTGGATCTTTACAATCTGCACCGTGGACAATGCAGCCCAACTATGTCTCTGCCCCCACAGAATCTTTASGTTTGGGAACAGCCTCCAAGGTAAGTCCCAGCTGCAGCCAAACCCCACCATGCTCACAAACCCACAGCCCCAGGTGCCACCTGCACCCCCTTTTCCAACACCTCCAGCGCCACGGACTTCAGCCCTGCCCTGGGCAGCCTGACCATCCTTTCCRTGGAGGATTTTCCCCTAATATTCAATGGAAACCTCCCCTGGAGCAACCTAAGTCTGCTTCCCCTTATCCCCTGGGAGCAGAGCCTGCCCACAACCTCCTGCCCCATTTGAATCCCAGCACAGTGAAGCTCTGGGAATTTTACAGTTGTGGGCAGAGACCCCGAGAGCAGCTCCCATGGRCAGCCCCAGACAACACACAAGGGCACCAAGGATCATTCAGGATTTCACTTTTATTTATTTTTTGCCTTCTGGATTACCAACACTCTCACTGAAACCTCTGGGATTCCACCTCCACCCCCATGACAGTAGCACACAATCTCCCAACTTGTTCATACATGTGAAAAGGGAAAAAAAATCCCCAGTGAGATCCCTCGGGATGGGACAAAAACTTTCAGTGTGAGAGGGTGGCAAAGAATTGGAGGGTGGCAGCTCTGGCTCTGAGGTGCCAGACCGGAAAGGAGACCTAGAAAGGGGAAAAAAAAATGGGCTAAAAAATATTTAGCGATCCTTCCTCCACCCAGAGAGCAGGGAGATAAGGAAAAAATAGTCATCTGCTTACACACAGGGTATATATTTTTACACACACTTGGACACACATCTAGATATAGTACATGTAAAAATATATGCTATACATCTGCCCACCCCCGTGGTGGCGTGGGCAGGATCCGTGTGTAGGAATTACTATACAGGTACTACTAAGTGTATATGTGCATATGTACACCCCCTCCTCCTGGACACACCGAGCCCCCGCCGCAGCAGCTCCTCTCTCAACCAGCCATCCAAGGAAAACGGGGTTGGGACAGGAAGAGGAGGGAAATCAAAGTGATGTGCCTCRTGCTCTGTGGTCCTTCAGCTTCGCTCCTGTGCCTGGAGTGGGGTCTAGCTCCCGGCATCCCCTGCGCCCCATTTATTGCATGTTTTGCTTCTGGGCTGCATTTCAACGCCACATTCTGTAGTCCTGGCGTCCTCTCCCTCCAACAAACTGAGGATGCAACCCACCCTGTSTCCATCCTCCCCCACCCCAACATCCCCATCCCATGAACACAAAGCCCAGGAAGGCTGCTGGCTGGAGAGGGCAGCAGGAATACACACCACAGGTGCTCTCTGCGGGGCAGGAGGGTCTGGACACGAGAGCCAAAGCCATGCAAAAGGTGGGAGAASGGGAGCAGAAGGAGGGAAAAATAAAGGATGAGAAGGGCAGAACAGATCTGAGGAGGAGGAAGAACACAGCATGGCAAGTGCTCAAGGCTTCATATTTTCTTGTCCTCTTCTTGTAAACAAGCTAATAATTCTCATGAGATAGAACAAGTAAAAAGACTCAAGTTCCAAATCGAGGGGCTGGAGTTCCCAGGAGTCTGTCCAGTCCATTCAGCGACACCACAGCCGGGGACAAAACGAGGGGCATTTTTTCTTTTTCCTTTTTTTTTTTTCCTAATTTTTTTTTGTTTGTATTTTTTTTTGTTTTGTTTTTTGTTAAAATCTTCTTTACTTAAAGCTGAGAGAGAAAAAAGCCAACTCAGGAGCCCTTTTCAAGGATGGCTCATTGTCTCTAGACTGAATAAATCACACTAGTTTTGAGAGAACCTTTTTTTTCTGTTTAATGACTTATAAAAGCCACGGGCTGGCCGTGGCTGGGCTCAGAGGCGGGTCTGGGCCTCGGGGACGTAGATCTCGATGCTGTCGGCGCTCTCGGTGGCCGAATTCTGCCGCACGGACGCTGCGCGCTTGGCCGCCATCAGCCGCTTCCGCGCCTCCTGCCGCTGCTTGTCCGAGTCAGAGCCTTTGTCCCGGCTCAGCTGCGATTTGGACTTGGCTGGCTTCTTTGGCACTGGAGGGGGCGGTTTCTTCTCTTCCTTTAGGGAGACAATAAGGAAAAATCCAGACCTGATATACATGTGTGCAGCGGTACTGGGATCATGTGGGGGAGAGCAGCTCTGGAGCAAGGCATCCTTCAAAATTGGCTGCCCCAGTTTCTACAGATGAGCCATTTTGCATTTTATTGAATCACAGAATGTCCTGAGCTGGAAGGGACCTGGTTTGGGTTGGAAGTTCGTCCACTTCCACTCCYTGCAATGGGGACACCTTCCACTAGACCCTGCCCGACCCAGCCTTGGAGACTTCCAGGGATGTGGGGTCCACAAGCCAGAGGTTGATGATCCACAACCAGAATAATCCAGTCCCATCCCTGTCCCTACACAGACACCCCAACAATCCCASCCGTGCATCCCTGGCAGYATTGTCCAAATGCCCCTGGAGCTCTGGCAGCCTCAGGGCTGGGAACATTCCCTGGGGAGCCTGGGCAGTGCCCAGGACCCTCGGGGAAAAGAACTTTTCCCTGAGATCCAAGCTGACCATCCCCTGGCACAGCTCCATGCAGTTTCCATGGACCARGACCCTTCTGGAGTGGCCTGGATTTCACAGACTCTCTGGCCCAGGTATAGCCCAGAGCACAGCATGGGCAGCACAAAGACACAGTTTGATGTGGAGCTCCAGCATTTTAATAAGCCGCCCGCGCCCCCCCCATCGAGCCACAGTCCTCCCTGCAAAGCCAGGACAACATTCTTCTGCATTTTCTAAAGGTTCCAGTTGTTTTTTACATTACTTAGGCACCAGGGATAGTTAAACCCATCCACACAGTGTTGGAAACACTTAAGACCCCTGTACCACTGCTCACCACTCTGTACTCTCAGCATCCAACACCTTTTCCCCTTGTACCAAACTGTTCCCACTGTGACTCAAGAGGGATRGCCCCTGTGCCTTGCAAAACTGTGAGATTACATGAGTGCAGGATGGTAAAAGCCCTTGAGAGCATCTGTTTGCAGACAAAACCAGACCTCAGATAGCCCAAATGTGTGCAAGGTATTCTGGCCACTCCCCAGTGCCCCTCACTCACCTTTCTCTCCGGTGTCTCTGCCAATTGCCAGCTATTAGCTTTGAGGTGATACAGCTCGTCAAACTTCATGCTGATGTCTTCGATGGACAGCTGGAGGAGATCCCAAAATCCAGCCAAGTCCTGGGCTGTGGGTCTGGGATTGGCGTTAGGGTTCTAGAGAGGGAAGCATCAAAAGCACCCTTTGAGAAAGAGCACACCCAGCAGAGCAGAGTGCACAGCATGTTCACCCCCTCAATGTTTGCCTGCAACCAAACCCAGCGGGAACCCACAGGAGACACCAGCCCTAAACATGGACACACAATGCCATTATTTACAGCCCAAATAATCTCTGCCAAGCTCAGGAAGCAGGTACTGACCGCACTTGTCCCACAGCAGAGTAATCCTGAACCAGACACTCTGTGCTGGCACTAACCCACAGCAGGACCCCACACTAAGTGCCAAGCATGGGACTCAGAGCCACAACACTGGATTCTTATCCAGAGATCCTGATTTCAGGGTGGGAAATAATGGAAATGGACACACGGCTCTGATGCCTGGATGTGCAGCACTCCAAAGAGCCAAACTGAGCTTTCATGAACAAAACGATTTTGCTACATTTCTCCCCAAAACAACCTGAAAGCATCAGTACTTCTCAGGCTGAGTTGAAAAATTTTACATAGCTTAAGTTTCTTCCAAGAATAGGATTTTTCCAGTTCCCAGGCAGCTTGAATCACCACCACAGGCCCTGGAAAGCATGGGATCAGATCCGAGAAGCTCACACAAAGCTCTGCTGATGCTGCTGTTTAGCTGGGGTCAGCACTTTACCCCTTCCTTCTTCTCAAGTTTCTCCTAGATTATTTTATGTGTAAGGGGAATTCACCTCTGAGGAAGTTTGCAAAATCCATATTACCATAAAACTTGAGGGGAAAACCAAAATAGAGATTTCATCAATTSCCATTAGCCCATATCACCTCCCAGCAAGGGCAAACCCCTGCATTCCCCTTTAGAGATCAATTCCCAATGCTCAGTGATGCAGGGACAGTGCCACCAGCCACACACGCAAAGGGAGCATGTGTGGTCAAGAGCAGGCTTTTCAAACATCCCCCCTATTCTGGCTGAGCCTCAGGGATTTGCCTCAAAAAGCCCTTCAGAAGTTGGAGACACCTCTGTGCTGTCCCAGCCCTCCTGCAGCCAGGCACTGTAGGCTGTGGCTGCACTGGCTTGGTTTTCAGACCTAATAATGTCCCTGTAGTGCTGTTAAAAGAGAGGCATYCTCTCAGAAACAAGGGAAAACAGGTCCAGACTTACCAAGTTTTGTTCACAGAGGCCATGGAATTGCTGGAACTTCTGTGACATTAGTAACTGTGCACTGCCCACTGCACTCAGGACTTTTCCTAAGACTGTGGGGGAGGAAGAAGRAAAAACAAGACGACCCGAGTTGAACAGACTATTAATTGTAGCAATGACCTCCAGTGTTACACTCGAGACATCAGAAAAGGAGTTTCAGAACCCCTCAAGGCACTAACTACTCCCWGGGAACAAGATGTTTTGAAACTACGTTTGTCTATAATTTCTCATTGCTCATTCTGGCAGGCCAAACACAGACCTGGCTGAAGAYATTCCAGCATCCAAGCTGGCAGAGAGCTCCTTAAACTGCCCTCAGCCCCTYGGAGAAGCCACCAGCACCCTCTGAGCGTGGTCTGTGAGCAGCTGCTTGGACATCACACCCTGCTCTCCCAGCCCTGCACGAGGGAAAGGTGACACAGGGACCGCTCTCCAGCCTCCCTGTACCAACAGGGATTAACACTGGGCCAGGCCTTTTACCACCCAGTGTTTTATCATGCTCTTATCGGGTTTTCTGAGTAGCCCCTGGGCATGGACACATTCCTGTAGTCATTAGTGGGAAMGGTCTGGGCTTTTGACTCTCAGAGGCAGGTTCAGAGCCCCACGTGCCTGCAGCTGMATCATCTGCAGGGACCATCTGAGCCCTGCCCCTGCTCTGCTGCTGCCCCGAGCCCACTCAGAGCGCTGTGCAATCATGATGGGACAAGTGTACCCCGGGCTCTCCAACCCACCAGGGCTGTGGTTACACAACCAAACACTGCTCCTGGCAGCCACAGGAGCAATGACATGCAGCTCTTGCTGTCTTGCCTTGCCACAGGTCAAGGCAGGCCAGCCCTGAGGCAGGGAGATCCCTGTCATGGCCTGCGTCCCTGGCAGCCAGGGCAGCACCTCAGGGAATCGGATTAGGGATTAGCTCCTGGAGCCCCAGCAGTGACAGTGAGCTAAAACTGAGCCTCACCTTTGTTTCACCCTTCTCAGGTACTAAAAACATCAAAACCAGGCTCCACACAAAGATCCTGCCCTCTGCAGCCCCATCACCTTCTCAGTCACTCTGTATCTACCAGGGGCATGGTTCCCACTGYAAAAAGCCCAGGTTTTGCCAAGGCATTTAAAAATAAAGGAATAAAGCCCAACTAGGCCAGAACCCAAAAAAATCAGTGGGCCTTATGTTCCCTGTTCCATGCTTTTAGTGCATCCAGAATAAGGTCAGTGAGGCTTTCCCATGTGAAGAAATCTCTTTGCTACAAAGACAAGTTCGTCAACTGAACTGATCAAAAAGCTTGGAAGTCATGTTCCTTCTGCCCCACTGCCAGCAAAGCTTTCCCTTGCCTRTGTGAGAGTAATGGGTGAGGCAGGGAGAGATCCCACAGCCTCCCTGAAAGCTTTTTCCATTTAACCTTTTTTTAACATTAAACCCATTTAAGCTTTTAGCAGTTTTGAGTGGTCAGAAACTGCACCATCCCCTGCATGTCTTTTATGCTGCATCACAGCATTAGTTTTTACTCCATTTGCTACAGGAAGTTACCTTATCCTTTCCAAGCAAAAAAGCATTCCTTGTTCCATCCTCCTCTCCATGCTCTGCCTCTGCGGGCTGTCAGCAGTCTCACAGARCCCCAGAATGGTTTGGGAGGGAAGGGACCTTAAAGCTCATCTCATTCCACAGGCAGGGACACCTTCCACTATCCCAGGCTGCTCCAGGCCCTGTTTAGCCTGGCCTCAAGACACTTGCAGGGATGTGGCAGCCACACTTGAACCAACCCAATACTCAGCTCCAACCCCTCGAGGAAGGTGCTGCCAGGGTGCTGCCCACACCCACCTTCCTCCGAGAGATTGTTCTCTTTGGTCTCCTGGTCCATCTGGCGGCACCAGCCCTCCAGGCGCTCGGTCTCGGCCTGCAGCAGCTTCAGGAACCAGAAGCCGTCCCGCCGGCAGGGCCCCGGCTGCGCCRGCTCGGACGGCGACGTGGAGGAGCTCTCGAGCCAGGGGTCAGGAGGAGGGAGAGAAGAAGGCTCCAGGGCAGGGTCATTGTTTTCTCCATAGGAGAGGTTTCTCTTAATCTGCGAAGGCTTGGCTGGTTGCCTGGTGGAGGCATCAACACCAACGGAATTGTTGTGCTGGGGGCACTCAGCGAGGCTTCTCTCAGATGATTTACAGGCGGAATTGTTGGGCTCCTGTGTGTCAGAGTCTGTGTCCTGTTTGGTGGACATGCTGCGAGAGTGGCTGTTTCTGCAGGGATCAAAAGCCACGGTTCAATAGCAGAGCTCAGCCCAGCCGGCCTCCCACACTGACAGCAAAATATATTTGGGTTATGGCCACGGCAGAGCCTCTCCCTGCCCCTCCTCAMACACAGACACACCACACACTCAGACACACAGAATTATAAGGTTGTCTGCTTACTGCAATTGGCCGTTCAGATGAGAGGGCTGACGCTTTCCTAAAATTACAGCTTGGATTTTTTAATTTTTTATTTAATTTCAAGCTCCCATTGATTTGGCTGTTAGAGAACAAGTGCTTTTTGCAGCAGGTGTGTGCTGTGGAGGAAGAGCTCTCCGTGGGCCCCATTCAACACCACTCACTGGCACAAAGCAGGGAAGAAGGTCTAAGCACAAGTGGGGGAGGCACAATTTAAAATAAAAGCAAACTGTGCAAACTTGTGTCTCACTTACCGCCACTCGTCCTCTACCTGTACCCCGATGGACTGGAATTTGGTGGCTGGTGGAGGAGGCTCCTCTTTTGCCACTGGCTGAAGGCAGTCAACCTTATTGAACAAGAAAAAATACAGACAAAAACAGACACGAGAACTTGCGGCTGGAACCCACGTTAGTAGAGCACACACATAGAGCATGGCGACACCATACAGGAAGGCCGCCTAAGGACACGCATGAGACTTTTGCTCAGCTCTGCTCCCACCTTGGCACCAGGGTTGTGTCCTGCCAGGCTGCTGCCACCACCTGTGCCAGGAGCTCTGGGCTCTGCATGGCTGGGGCTGTGTCCCTGAGCCTGTGGTGTCCCATACCGGAAAGGGCYATGGCATTCAAGGGAGGACAGTGAGCTGATCAAGACTGACAGCAAAGCCTCTCTCCCAGGGATTGACACCCTCCATGGCTCTAGATAAGAGGGTTGCAARGTTTTAGGAAAGAAATCCAGGTGGCTTGGGAAGCAGCTCAGAAAAGGAAGAGGAGAGGAAGGCAGYTGGCCTCTCCAGTGCATTCTCTCCCCTCACTGTCCTTTCAGGTGTTTGGCCACACCAGCCCTGCAGGGAGGCCTTCGCTGYCACCTGTATTGAAGTGGCTTTGCTGTAAAGCTGATGGGGAATTCCACCAGCATACACAGAGCAGCCCAAAGCTCAGATCCTGCACTTGGAGCTGCCCAAGTTCCCCTCTGCAGGTAACCAGCACCTGGGACAGAACCAGAGCTCACAGCCACCTCTAACTGAAAAAAACTGTCCCAGAATGGGGCACAGCCCCAGAAAAGGGCACAGCCCCGGAGCTGGGCACAGACCCAAAGGAGAGCACAGCCCCAGAGCTGGGCCCAGTCCCAGAGCTGGGCATAGTCTCAGAGGAGGGAACAAGCCCCAGAAAAGGGCACAGCCCCAGAGCTGGGCACAGCCCCGGAGTGGGGCACAGCACCGGAGGAGGTAGTTTTGCTGACTAAAGCATGGTTTTACACTACTCACTGGGTTCTCATTTGACTATGTAATCAACAGCTCATTTCCATGGATTCCCACAGAGTTGAATGCTTCCAGCAAGGGAAGCACCAGCCTGCTGGGAATGCTGGACAGGCAGCAAGGAATTGCTCCCTCCTGCCTGCAGACCTGGGACCATTTGGCACTACAGCAGCCCATCCCACATGGATGTCAAGCAGAAAGGCCCACCTCTCAGGAGAGAACTGTCCCTAGAACCATGGTAGACAAGGAGCAGACTGATGGGAAGCAATACAGAGCACAGAGCACAGGCAGACCAGCAGTAAAAGGCCTCTTCAGAGGGACTCACCCAGTTAGCATGGTCCCTCTGGTCTAGGAAACATTTTGCATTTGTACTATAAGAACTTATTCCTTCCTGGTCTGTTAAGGGAAGGTGCTGCTCTCACCCTGGGAACACAGTTATTCTGACAAGGCAGGGAGTCTCTCTTGCTATTCTAAGTAGTGCTCAGATGCACACCTGGTCACAGAAAAGGCACACGCTAAATGGATGGGATAAGGACATTCCTTGAGACAAAAGAAAACAAACTATTCCATACTTGTATTCCTATAGACGACAGCTTTCTTTTGGGGATATTCTCCACTTTAGGCTCTTCGTTTGTCAGAGTCCCTTTGTCACTTTTCAAAGTTGCATTTTTCTGAGGTAACTCTGGAGTGTCTCTGGCCGGAGTCACGACGCTGCCCCTGGTCACACTGGGTGTCCTGGTGCTGTCCAAGCTGTCTGAGGAATTGCTGAGCCCCGACTGGCTGGTGACCTCGCTCTTGTGGTCCTGGCTGTCCAGGTAGGTGTCCTGCGCTGACTCAGTGCTGCTCTGCACAGTGACAGAGATGAACGGCTTGGACGTGGTTCGAGGTGGGACAGGAGGTGGAGTCTTTTTATATGCCACTAGGCATGATGAACCTGCAGGGATGGAGGGGGGAGAAGGGAGAACGCAGGAGACAGGTTGGAGGGAAAGAGATACAGTGAGAGAAAAAGCAGGTCAGTCACAACATCCAAGAGGAGCCTCCAAGCAGCAGCTGGAGGCAGAGGTGCAGAACCAGCCCCCAGGCAGCAGCTCACACCGGGAACCCACACCAAAGCATAGGGGAAGCGAAGGCAGAGCCAGAGCTAGCTTGCAGAAGAAGTCAAAAGGAATACCATAATGCGTGGAAATCTGGAAACAGAGAAGAGAGATAGAAAAGCCTCCCAAGAATGCTACAGGGTTTGGCAGGTGTAAGCCTCCGTATCGGGGAAATAGTCTTTAGCTAAACCCTATGTTTTAGTGTCCTAGTACAGCCAAGTGTCTCAGCTCTTTGTCCCATCAGTTGACAATTTTCAGTGTCTGGATCAGGGTGATGGTTTTTCCTAAAAAAATGGAAAGAAGCCATAAAATTTGTTAGATGTTGATGGCAGGAACACATGTTTGAAGCCCCTGACAAGCTCAGCTACTCCATGGCAGGGGAAAAGACATTGTCTGGAAGCAACAGGCGAGGCTGCTGCTCCATGGCCCCAGATCCAAGTGGCAGCAAGGCTGGAGATGCATGCCCAGCAGACACAGAGCACACATACCCCACRTGTATGGACAGATGGGTGGCTGGCCACACCAACCAGGACAGCAGCCCCACCCCGCTCCTGTCTTTGGCTGGGCAGGATGGAAGTCCACCAGTGCAAATACACATAAAATCCACGTGGATCCTGCAGCAGCTGTGTTTAGGCCCCCAGTCTGCCCATGATATACAATCCTGAGGCCACAGTCYCACGAAGCTGCTGCCCAGCCAGGACAGGCTGCCCTGAGCAGGGCACGACCACACACATTGACCAGCCACCTTCCTACACACAACTGACCCCCTTTATCCCTGCCATTCCTATACCCTTGGTCCTCCCCAAGTCACCAGACTCCCCTTCCCATCCCACCTTTGGTTACTCCCATTAAGTCCTGTGCAACTGCTTTCCCCCTGCACTCCACAAYGGGGAAGGAATGTTTCAGGTGACCAGGCAGGTGACTGTGCCCACACTGGAGACTGAGCACACTTGGGGGCATCCAGGAAGGGGATCTCAGCTGCCTCACCATTTCCAATGGGGCCAGAGCCAGTCCTGAGCATCCCACACTCCCTGTGGGGCAATCACAGCGCTGCCCCATGAGACTGACTGACAGCATGCCAACATGCCTGCAATTACACATCCCACTGATTACCATACTAACAGCTAAAGCTTCACTTCAAAGGAAGAACTAAAACAGATTGCAGAGATCTATGCTTGCAGCAGCTTTTCTGTTCCCAGAGATGCTGAGCAGCACCCTTAAGGTGCTGCCTGCACAGCAGAAGCAAGAGGCCTGTGCAGGGCTGATAGCCCGGATGCCTCCAGCCTGGACCTGAACAGGAGCTCAGAAAGCACAAATGGATCCCAGTTCCCTCAGGCCACAGCACCAAGTCCAGCACAATCCGAGCAGTGTTCTGATGGCAGCAGAGCAAGATCCACCCTACCACCCATCCTCCTCTGACTCACACAGGTGAGGGTGCCCACAGCCCCCCTGCCACGATGGCCTCACCAAGCACCATCTCCAGCAGTCATTCCTAGGCCCTGATTCTCCCATCCCATCCCATCCCATCCCATCCCATCCCATCCCATCCCATCCCATCCCATCCCATCCCATCCCATCCCATTCCAGTGGGGCACTGTAGGAGCAGCCTGACCAGAGCCATGGCAGAGACATCCCTGGATCAGCTGTTCCTACACCCCAACACAATAGGCTTCTCATGTTACTGCACCAGGGCTACATCAGCCACTGGCCAAAGCAAGTTAGAGCCACACAAGCTGGCAGTGGTGTCCCTTCAGTTAAACACCTCCACATGGCTCCTGTCCTCCCCCAGGAACAGTGCCCAGGGCGCCCTGCCACCCACAGCTCCTGTCACATCCTGCTTGCAGCCAGACCGGCCACAGCACTTGGTGGCTTGGCTGCCATGGCCACCATAAGCTCAGCCCAGCTCCCCCAGTTGCTGTGGACACCAGCAGGGCTGGGACTGGGAAAAGGAAATCGATGGCTCTTTGACATTGAACAGCCTGTCCAGGCAAAACAAGGGGAGGGCAAAGCAGCACAGAGTTTCTGGGGGAGATCAGTGGTGTTCAGGGTCAATAAGCCAGGCCCAAAGTCATTCTCCCCTACCAACAGACAGCATGACCTGTCCAGCCTGCTGTTAAAAGGGCAAACCACAGTGACCCCTTGCCTTGCTCCTGGGATCCCTTGGTACCACCCAGCTCAGCTGAAGGGCAGCACAGGCTTTGCTGGAAGGGAAACATCCAGGACCAACAAAACACAGCCCTGCTCATGTCCCTGTGCTCAAAGGGTTCACTCTGTGAGCTACAAAAGTAAGACAAAGGCTCTAGAAAACCTTGCAAATGACAAACACAAAAGGATCAGAAGCTTTGAAGAAYTGGGGATGCACTAATTAGTGTAATTGCTAATTACCCTCATTGAAGCCCTCCTCAACTTTAAGCCAGGACTTGGGACTGCCCAACRAAGTCAGAAACCACACCTTCCCTAGGAGGGGTTTCAAAAGCCAAAGTCAGAGCAAGCCCACACAGAACAGTCTGTCCTTGGCACTCAACTCAACTCTAATCTAAGGTTCATGCTTCCTGCATCTGTGGGAAGAGACAAATCCTGGGGAAGACAAGAACATCCTAATGTTTCCATAGGAGCTGCAGGCAGCATACCCTCCCAGCTTTGAGGCCAATTCCACCAGTCAGGAGCACTCAGTTGCTGATTTATCCCTCCAAAGTGCTACAGCTTAGCAGGACCTGCATCTGCTATGGGCTTGCTGAGGTCACAGCCTACTTTATTTTGAATTGTGCTGCAGTGGGAAACTACAATTCCTGTGGGCACTGGAGCAGGAGCTTAGAGCAGGACAATCAGCTGTTTGCTTGGGAACTTCATCCCTGTTCCAAAAAGGTGCAGAACAACAAGAGAACATGAAAACTGTGCTTAAGCTTCCAGCTTTGCAGCACTAGGCTCCTCCTGCTCACAGGATCTTCTAAGGCTTACTTCAGCCAGCAGCTGGAATTCACAGTGTGCCACAGGTGGTTGATTTTGGGGAGGAGGATGTTTGTTTATAGTCTTCCTTCTGTAATCATTCATAGAGAGCAGCAAGTTTCCAAATTAGCACCTGTCCTGGTTTTACTCAGTCTGGTTTTTGGTGGTGGAGAGATGGGACCAAGAAACCACAAAGATGGCTCCTGTGAGAAAGTTCTAGAAGCTTTCTCCTTCTTCTCTAGCAAAAGGAGCCCTACCCCCTGTGTTTTAGAGCCAATCCATTGTGGCTCTGAGGTTGATGGACAGGCTGCTGGTCAGGCCTGGGCCAATTGCACATGCTAGTTACACCTCTGTGATAACGTATGATCTTGTACTTGAGAAGAATTCAAAACAAGATAGAGTGTGGAYGCCATTAGTCTTAGGTTGTTAGTATCATCTCCTGCACTGGGGGAGGACAGAGGAGGAGGGTGAGGAGATGTGAGAAAAAATGGAGACACAAGGTCAGAGAGAGTCAAAGAAGAAGAMAAGTGCTGTTGCTGTGGTGCTCGAACATGAAGAAAACAAGCTGTTCTYGAAAGGACTATTTCWTCAATGGGAGACCTGTGTAGAAAAGAGAGGCCCTGCATYCGACATAAAAAAACCTGGCCTYGGAGGACTGGACTGATCATAAGCCAAAAAAGGGGGCAGAARTGGCCRCCCTAAGTCTRAAGTGAGTAGATGCTTAGAAGAAACTGYGTTCTGCCAGGAGATTTGACAGAGTGACCTTGCTCCCAGAATGAAGCAGCCAGYCTTGGAGGACTGTTTCCCTTTCTCCCACGAGGTAAAGAAAAACAATCCCATGCCACCASCAGTTATACACTGACTGTTCTTGGGCAAAGARCCTCCACAGCTTGGAGCTGTAAGGACTCTTCTATGATGCTGRACAACAACTGTAATAAGTAGTCTGATCTATGTTAAAACTTTTATCCCTGCCCCCTTGCACACAGGAAGGCATGGAGGGGTGGGGAGGGACGACTTGGGAGAGACGGGTTCGCAGAGAGAATAACAGGTGTCTTAAAATGTCCATTTTTACTTCTTCTCCTTGTAAATTTTTCCCTATCTTTGTTCCCCTCCCTGGTGCAGTAGTATTCTTAGTAGTCCTTAGTAATGAATCTATTTACAACTTAAGTTTTTTTGATCCTGTCTGACCATTTCTGGAGCRTATATGTATCTTTCTCTCAATTATGCTATCTTATCTAAAAGCCATAAATTTTAGTGTTAATGATGCTTTTCCTCTCCCCTCTGCCTTTTTGGGGTGGGGGGARGAGGAATGTCATGGGTGCTTTGGCTTTCTGCCAGGGGCTAAGCCACAACATTTTTGGTGCATRGGAAAACGGGTTTAAACCCACAACAGCACCTTGCATCTGCTCTCAGGGGCTTGGGCAATCCCATGGATGCAGCCCTGGACAGAGGAGCTGTTTGCAGAGCCTTACACGGGAGAATTCTCTGGACCCTCAAAATCCAGCTGGGCATGGTGGGATCCTCTTCCTCTCCTTCCAGAGGTGTTTGCTTCTTGGAAGACTAAAAGTAGAGTCATAGGAGAATATTAAACCTAGCCCCTGTTGCCACCCTACCAGGCTGGCTCCTGCTCAGTACTTGGTGGCACCATAGGATCACAGCTAAAGTATTTGGGGGGGCATTTAAGCACCGCAATTGCCCTCAAGTATGTCTGGCCTGAGGTGCCAGTGTTCTGCTACTGCTGATTCAATACAGCCTGGTGACATTTCCAGTCATTCCAGGAACTTCAAGGACCTACTCAAACCATCCTTACTTTTGTTAAATCACCTCAACAGCCCCCAGCCATGGCCAGCTGTGGAGGYAAGTGCCCCCACCCTCAAATATCAGCAGGGCTGGCTTCTATCCCGTCCTGGCCCCTGCATCTCCCTTCCCCCATGGGACTGGCCAGAGGAACGACCTAATTTCCTCACACATAAAGCAGAATGTTCTGAAATAATCTTCTCTGTAAGACAAGCTCATTTGCCTTTTAAATAAAACAACCATAGAATCATCTTGCAGCAAATGTCATCAGCGGCATTATCCCCTGGGAGATTCCAGCTGCAGGGCTTTGGGCTGGCCTGTGCCACAGGGTCTCCCAGCTGCAAGGAGCTGCTTTGGGAGGCAGCTTCCAACAGCAAAGGGAACTGGAACAGCTGCATTCCAGGCGACCTGACCTCTGATTTTCATCAGCTTGAGGAACACTTCAAGGTTGGAGCTGTAATGAACTGCAGRATGTTTTATTTGTAGAGAGTCCAAGTGAAAATGAGTGCTGGTGACAATTCCTACCAAAGGCAATATGGAC